ACATTCATCAATATCTTCATATGCTCTCTGAGTGTCCAAATTTATAAGATCCTTATTGGTTAGTTCTTCTGAATGAGCTTCTAGCAATTCTTGCACATTTTCATCGTCAGTCTCAGCGAAGCCAAGTTCTTTTCCAATATAAGTAATCTCTTTAATGACCTATTCTGTATCTTTTGAAAAGCCTGTGACGTCCTGTGCACAGTGTGGAAGAACTGTCTTCCAAACACCTTGCATATTTTTAACTGAAATTTCATTCCATGCTTGATGGATATTATCAATAGCACCCTTAATACTGAATTTCTTCCAAAATTGAACTAGTGCCATAGAATTCTCTCCAGATTTGCTTGAATCGCTTGCTTGAAAGTCTTTTTCAGGTAGTATGCTTTAAAGGTCGCAATAATGTCCTGGTCCATTGGTTGCAATAAAGTGGTAGTGTTAGGCATTCAAAAATTTCACTTGGATATTTTTGCACATTGAATCGAGACCAAAAGGATGACCAGGGGCATTATCTAAAATAAGCAAAGCTTTAAAATCTAAATTTCTTCTTCGGCAAAAGTCTTCAACCGTTGGACAAAAATACTTGACGAACCATTCTTCTAACAAAGCTTTAGTTACCAATGCTTTTTTATTAGATTTCCATATTATTGGTAATTGTCCTTGATTTATATCTTTAAGAGCTCTTGAATTCTGAGCTCGATAAACCAACATAGGCTTTAATTTCAAATTTCCTTTAGCACTGCCACCCAATAAAAGGGTTAGCCTGTCCTTTGCAGCTTTATATTCTGACTGGGAACTCTTAGATTTGGCCGGAAAAGTTTTGGAAGCATCCTTTTCCAAAATAACCCCGTCTCGTCGACGTTAAAAATTTGTTCATCCGAATACCCTCCTTCTTCCACAATTTTCTTCAGAACTTCAGGATATTCATCAGCAGCTTCCTTATCTGCACTAGCTACTTCCCCTGTAATTCTTACATTGTGCAGGCTAGTTCTTTTCTTGAACTTCCCAAACCATCCAGCACTAGCATGGAACTCCTTTGTCTCGTCTTTGAACTTTTCTTGAACTTCTTTTAAGATTGCAAAGAGACTTAATGCTTTTTCTTTTATGA